GGGCAGTGTTGAGTCTATGGTGCAGTGTTGAGTCTATGGTGCAGTGTTGAGTCTATGGGCAGTGTTGAGTCTATGGTGCAGTGTTGAGTCTATGGGCAGTATTGAATCTATGGTGCAGTGTTGAGTCTATGGTGCAGTGTTGAGTCTATGGTGCAGTGTTGAGTCTATGGGCAGTGTTGAGTCTATGGGCAGTGTTGAGTCTATGGTGCAGTGTTGAGTCTATGGGCAGTGTTGAGTCTATGGGCAGTGTTGAGTCTATGGGCAGTGTTGAGTCTATGGTCCAGTGTTGAGTCTATGGTTCAGTGTTGAGTCTATGGGCAGTGTTGAGTCTATGGGCAGTGTTGAGTCTATGGGCAGTATTGAGTCTATGGTGCAGTGTTGAGTCTATGGTGCAGTGTTGAGTCTATGGGCAGTGTTCAGTCTATGGTGCAGTGTTGAGTCTATGGTGCAGTGTTGAGTCTATGGGCAGTGTCCAGTCTATGGTGCAGTGTTGAGTCTATGGTGCAGTATTGAGTCTATGGGCAGTGTCCAGTCTATGGTGCAGTGTTGAGTCTATGGTGCAGTGTTGAGTCTATGGGCAGTGTTGAGTCTATGGTGCAATGTTGAGTCTATGGGCAGTGTTGAGTCTATGGGCAATGTTGAGTCTATGGGCAGTGTTGAGTCTATGGTGCAGTGTTGAGTCTATGGTGCAGTGTTGAGTCTATGGGCAGTGTTGAGTCTATGGGCAGTGTTGAGTCTATGGGCAGTGTTGAGTCTATGGGCAGTGTTGAGTCTATGGGCAGTGTTGAGTCTATGGTGCAGTGTTGAGTCTATGGGCAGTGTTGAGTCTATGGGTAGTGTTGAGTCTATGGTGCAGTGTTGAGTCTATGGGCAGTGTTGAGTCTATGGGCAGTGTTAGTCTATGGGCAGTGTTGAGTCTATGGGCAGTGTCCAGTCTATGGGCAGTATTGAGTCTATTGTGCAGTGTTAAGTCTATGGTGCAGTGTTGAGTCTATGGGCAGTATTGAGTCTATGGGCAGTGTTGAGTCTATGGGTAGTGTTGAGTCTATGGGCAGTGTTGAGTCTATGGGCAGTGTTAGTCTATGGGCAGTGTTGAGTCTATGGGCAGTGTTGAGTCTATGGGCAGTGTTGAGTCTATGGGCAATGTTGAGTCTATGGGCAGTGTTGAGTCTATGGGCAATGTTGAGTCTATGGGCAGTGTTGAGTCTATGGGCAATGTTGAGTCTATGGTGCAGTGTTGAGTCTATAGGCAGTGTTGAGTCTATTGTGCAGTGTTGAGTCTATGGGCAGTGTTGAGTCTATGGGCAGTATTGAGTCTATGGGCAATGTTGAGTCTATGGGCAGTGTTGAGTCTATGGGCAATGTTGAGTCTATGGGCAGTGTTGAGTCTATGGGCAATGTTGAGTCTATGGGCAGTGTTGAGTCTATGGGCAATGTTGAGTCTATGGGCAGTGTTGAGTCTATGGTGCAGTGTTGAGTCTATGGTGCAGTGTTGAGTCTATGGGCAGTGTTGAGTCTATGGGCAGTGTTGAGTCTATGGGCAGTGTTGAGTCTATGGGCAGTGTTGAGTCTATGGGCAGTGTTGAGTCTATGGGCAGTGTTGAGTCTATTGTGCAGTGTTGAGTCTATGGGCAGTGTTGAGTCTATGGGCAGTGTTGAGTCTATGGGCAGTGTTGAGTCTATGGGCAGTGTTGAGTCTATGGTGCAGTGTTGAGTCTATGGTGCAGTGTTGAGTCTATGGGCAGTGTTGAGTCTATGGTGCAGTGTTGAGTCTATGGTGCAGTGTTGAGTCTATGGTGCAGTGTTAGTCTATGGGCAGTGTTGAGTCTATGGGCAGTGTTGAGTCTATGGGTAGTGTTAAGTCTATGGGCAGTGTTGAGTCTATGGTGCAGTGTTGAGTCTATGGGCAGTGTTGAGTCTATGGGCAGTGTTGAGTCTATGGGCAGTGTTGAGTCTATGGGCAGTGTTGAGTCTATGGGCAGTATTGAGTCTATGGTGCAGTGTTGAGTCTATGGGCAGTGTTAGTCTATGGGCAGTGTTGAGTCTATGGGCAGTGTTGAGTCTATGGTGCAGTGTTGAGTCTATGGGCAGTGTTGAGTCTATGGTGCAGTGTTGAGTCTATGGGCAGTGTTAGTCTATGGGCAGTGTTGAGTCTATGGGCAGTGTTGAGTCTATGGGCAGTGTTGAGTCTATGGTGCAGTGTTGAGTCTATGGGCAGTGTTGAGTCTATGGGTAGTGTTGAGTCTATGGTGCAGTGTTGAGTCTATGGTGCAGTGTTGAGTCTATGGGCAGTGTTAGTCTATGGGCAGTGTTGAGTCTATGGTGCAGTGTTGAGTCTATGGGCAGTGTTGAGTCTATGGTCCAGTGTTGAGTCTATGGTGCAGTGTTGAGTCTATGGTGCAGTGTTGAGTCTATGGGCAGTGTTCTTCAGTGTGCAGGAAAAGTTTAGGGGCGCAAGTAGGGAGATGGGCCGAAAACGGAATTGGGCACAGCGGGGAGGAACAGAGGGAGAGAATATTGGGAACGCCGTCGACTTCATGAGAAGTATGTCTGGGTTTGGTCTACAGTGAAAAGGTATGTGTTTGTAAGCAGTGTAGCGGTTAGCGCTCCGAACCCGGCGACCCGAGTTCGATTCCCGCTCACGGCCAACACCAGTGACGATTATCTGAACCGGTTCTGAGCCTCCCCTAGGTCGAATCGGCCTCAAATGAGTACCTGGTGCGGTGTGTCAACATCGTCACTCGGGAGACAAAGGCGGCCGGGCGTGGTGTTGGCCAACCACCCCCTCGTGTGCCGTGCCGGCCTTCATAGGTGCTCGCTAACAGCCCCAACGGTCAGTTCAGGCTATACGGGGTATCTTTGTATAAAATATTTCGCACCGTACGTAAACAAACCGTGCTAATCGGAGGTGCGGGGGAAATGACAGCAAACTGAACACAAAAAGCAGCAAAATGTGGCAACCCTACCCAGGGCAGGATTCAGATTTTGAAGGCCCCCGGTCTATAGGAACTGTGAGGCCCCTAGTAATATTTTCCAAAGGAAAACAAAGTTAAAGAAAAATAACATTTATTTTTTACAAGGCTAACAACAAATTAAATTCAGCAATCACAAATGAAACAACTATTCACTTTATCTCTGGAGGCCCTCCAGCTGGCTGAGGCCCCTGGGCTGTAGCCCCTAAAGCCCCGTTGCCTCAATACGTCCCTGACCCGACCACTCACTCACTCAACCACTCGCTCACGCTCCCACTCACCCACCCACTCGCTCACCCTCCCACTCACCCACCCACTCACCCACCCACTCGCTCACCCACCCAATCGCTCACCCTCCCACTCGCTCACCCTCCCATTCACCCTCCCACTCACCCACCCATTCGCTCACCCTCCCACTCACCCACCCACTCGCTCACCCTCCCACTCACCCACCCACTCGCTCACCCTCGCACTCACCCTCCCCCTCACCCACCCACTCGCTCACCCACCCACTCACCCTCCCACTCGCTCACCCACCCAATCGCTCACCCTCCCACTCACCCACCCACTCGCTCACCCTCCCACTCACCCACCCACTCGGTCACCCTCCCACTCACCCGAACTCTCGATAGATCTCGTTCTGACTGAGACAGGGCTAGGAGATGTTAACTACCTCGCCTGGTATGCAGGAAGTCGTAGGTGTTATCGTGACCCTGACGCCTGCTGCTGTATATTTGGAGTTTGCGCTGTCTCTCTCCCCGTGATCACGGCGATTTTTCTCCGGGTTATCCCTCCACATTCAGAATCAACACCACGCGTTTAGAGTGTCTGACCACTAATCACGTCCGCGTGATAAGCCACTTCGTTGAGCTACCAATTGTGGGCAGGATGCTTCTGAAAAGGAGCTACGTAGCTCAGTGGGCCTTACCTGGTAAAATTTACAAAAATAGTTTAGTTTTAGTTAATAGAATTCGGCCTGGCCACAGGAGCAAGGTCGTGAATGAACAACGTCGACTCTGTGTCCACGGGCTCAGCGCAAGAAACGTGTTCATCATAGACTCTTTGTCGAGTGCAGCTGTGATGGTGCTGTTCGTTGCTGACAGCTCGACTTTTTTTGTTTTTGGGGGGGGGGGGGGACTTCGGGACTCATGAGATCAGTAACTCGGCCATCGTACGTAAATAAATAAATAAAACTCGCCGATCGACCCACCACGCCACACTTACTCCATAGGATCCCTTTAATGTCCAAGAGAGCTTCGGGGTACATCTTCTCGTGGATTTTGTCTCGCCAGGCGAACAAACTCACGGCGCCAGGCGAACAAACTCACGGCGCCAGGGTTTACGGAGTCCTCACATTGGCAAGAGGCGGCGTGGGGTCACCGGCATGGCCACGGGCAAAACGGACCAAGTGCATGGCCGTCAACCCATACGGTTTACCCGCAGTCTTGTACAGAGGAATTGAGTAAAAACATAAATATGTATTTTTGTTTGTGTTTCTCCCTTGTGATGTAACTTTGTGGGATGAACGTTGAGATGCATAAGTGGCACGGGGTGCCCAATAATGGTCTGAATTGGTCTGGAATAAGGTAGGGCGCTGATAAGGGGTTGACAGCGATGCAAGTGCAGTACAACAACAAAACACATCAAAATTAAATTGGAGAGGAAAATAATGGTACAAGATTAAAGTCCCTGCAGCTCAAGTAGGACCTGTGGCTCTTCTTAACCTGCTGTGCATCACGCACTCCATGGGGGTGCGTGATGCCCTGTCTGGGGGGTGTGGGTGCGAGACATGGGCAGATTTCTGTTTTAGATGGTAAATAATCTAAAACATGGGCACGTAAGTAACAATTACTTTGTTTCATCAAACCCGAATATGTTTATTAACATTATGAAGGTTAGGAACAACTGCTCTAGACCGATCGTTTTGACTATTATAGAAACAGCGGGTGATGTGTAAACAATGTAAACAGACGAGGTGTGGGTGAACTCGGGTGGGCGACGCGATGAGGTGGACGAGGTTGCCCTTACCGCTGTCAATGGCCCGCCCCGGGGCTATCATCATCAGCAGCAGCAGTCCCGTCTTAATCATCATCAGCAGCAGTGCGAGACTCCGCGTGTCCATCGTGTCGCCCTCCACTCACTCGCTCCGTGACCAGGGCGGCGGTGATGGTGATGGGAGGTGGTGATGGTGATGGGAGGTGGTGATCGTGACCAGGGAGGTGGTGATGGGAGGTGGTGATGGTGATGGGAGGTGGTGATGGTGATGGGAGGTGGTGATGGTGATGGGAGGTGGTGATGGTGATGGGAAGTGGTGATGGTGATGGGAGGTGGTGATGGTGATGGAAGGTGGTGATGGTGATAGGAGGTGGTGATGGGAGATGGTGATGGGAAGTGGTGATCGTGACCAGGGAGGTGGTGATGGTGATGGGAGGTGGTGATGGGAGGTGGTGATGGGAGGTGGTGGTGGTGATGGGAGGTGTCGGAGGCTGTGATGGTGATGCGACACTGATGGTAGCAGTGACACTGATGGTAGTAGTGACACTGATGGTAGTAGTGACACTGATGGTAGTAGTGACACCGATGTGGCGATGGTGGTGTTGATGGAACTGTTGATACTAGCGGTGTGATGATAAAGACACTGATGATGATGATGGTGGTGTAGATGGAGGGTCTCGTGTTAACCCCTGGCGATAGTGGCCATGGTGGTGGTGGTTTGGAAGCTGGTGGTGTGAATGACGGTGGCGTAGTTGTAGACTGTATGGCAACTGGTCGTGATGGTGGTGATGGCGGTGGTGGATACCCTGATGATGATGATGATGATAGTGGTGGAGACCCTGATGATGATGGTGGTAGTGGTGCTGGTGGAGACCCTGATGATGATGATGGTGGTGGTGGTGGTGGAGACCCTGATGATGATGATGATGGTGGTGGAGACCCTGATGGTGGTGGTGGTGGTGGTGGAGACCCTGATGATGATGGTGGTGGAGACCCTGATGGTGGTGGACGAGGAGGCTGCGTGGTCGTGACGCTGGCGACGATCGCAGCGCGCCGATCACGGCGCCGGCGTGGGCGGTGTTTGTGTTGTTGGGCGACAATGAAGGGGATGCGGCAAGGGCGGCGAGGCGAGTCGCGGTGTGGACGCTGGCGATGGGGCCGTGATGGTTGACTCACCGCGGTCGCGATGAAGTTGACTGATGATGGTTGTGGTGATGTCCGTGATGGTGGTGGTGGTGGTGGTGATGATGATGGTAGTGGTGATAATGATGATAGTTGTGGTGGTGGTGGTGATGATAGTTGTGGTGATGTCCGCGGTGGCGATAGTCGTGTTAGTGACGTGAAGGATGATGGTGGTCGTGGTGATGATGGCTCTGGTGGTGGTGGTGATGGCTCTGGTGGTGGTGATGATGGCTCTGGTGGTGGTGGTGATGGCTCTGGTGGTGGTGGTGGTGATGGCTCTGGTGGTGGTGGTGGTGATGATGGTGGTGGTGGTGATGGCTCTGGTGGTGGTGGTGGTGATGGCTCTGGTGGTGGTGATGGTGGTGGTGGTGATGGCTCTGGTGGTGGTGGTGGTGGTGGTGATGGCTCTGGTGGTGGTGGTGGTGGTGATGATGGTGGTGGTGGTGATGGCTCTGGTGGTGGTGGTGGTGATGGTGGTGGTGGTGGTGATGGCTCTGGTGGTGGTGGTGGTGGTGATGGCTCTGGTGGTGGTGGTGGTGATGATGGTGGTGGTGGTGATGGCTCTGGTGGTGGTGGTGATGGCTCTGGTGGTGGTGGTGGTGGTGATGGCTCTGGTGGTGGTGATGATGGCTCTGGTGGTGGTGGTGATGGTGGTGATGGCTCTGGTGATGGTGGTGGTGGTGGCTCTGGTGGTGGTGGTGATGATGGCTCTGGTGGTGGTGGTGGTGGTGATGGCTCTGGTGATGGCTCTGGTGATGGTGGTGGTGGTGATGATGGCTCTGGTGGTGATGGTGGTGGTGGTGGCTCTGGTGGTGGTGATGGCTCTGGTGATGACTCTGGTGGTGGTGGTGGTGATGGTGGAGCGGCCGTGACGGACGAGTCGTGAGTTGCCGTTCGCGCTGCGCTCGAGTCGCCGAGTCGCTGTGAGAGCTTCCAACTTCCACCCCGACCCCCGTCTCGCTCCCCGCTCCTCCTCCTCCTCCCCCACCAGTGGAGGGGAGCTCCCCTCGCCCCTCCACCCACATAACTCATCTCAAGCCATTCAGCCACGGCCTTGCCTCCCCCCACACCCCCCACCCACCCTTCCCCCAAACCGAGACAAAAACTCCATGCCCCCCCCCCCCGGACCCATTCAGCTCCAACTCCGCTTCTCCCCAACTCCATCCCCCCCCGCCCCTCCCCTCCCCTCCACCCATCGGCACGATTTACGATTTACCCATTCGACCTAATCTCATCATTCCCCTGCCCGTCACGTCACCCCCCCTCCTCCTCCTCCCCGCTGTGTCTCCACAACCCTCCTGCTCATCCCACCCCGGGCATCCCATCCCGTTCCTTGCCGTCTCGTTCAGCTCCAGTAACGCCGTCGGAGTCTCGGATGTCCTCGGCGCGGTCGCGCTCTGCATTCGGCCAAGCCGCGCAGGGGAAGAGCGATCTCGCTTCGTGGCGATGCTCTGTGGAACTCCTCCCGTCTCGCCGGCCTCCTGCGATGACGACCAATCACGGGAAATCATCCCATCCCCTTCTCATTCAGCCATCGTCATATTGCACGCGCCATCCTATCCATCTCATCTCGTCCCTTATCTCATCCCTTATCTCATCCCTCCCCATCTAGCCTGATGGCATATTCATGTCATCTCATGCTTTCTCATCATCCCACCTCATTCGCCCATCCTATGTCGTGCGAATCTCATCCCGTAACTCGCTCTTTCTCAACCTTTTCGTCCTCGTATCGCCATTGCGATTTCAACAGCATCTGAATTTCAACTGCACCTCCAAACGCCGTGCAAAATAGCGGGACACGTGGCTTCGCAGGGACCACGGACAAGAAAAGCGTGGCGATAGACACCTCCGATTAGCGCGGTTGGATACGTACGGTTGCGGATAGAAGAAGTTCAACGCACGTACTCGTGGTACACGCACAAGATGTGTGACTGTCAAGGGAGTGTCACTGACGACGCGACTGATGTGGCGAGAACGTCGACTTGCAGCACGGCGTCGCCTGTCCGCAGCCTCCACTCCTCGCTCTCGTAGGGAGAGGACGACTCGGAGGGAGAGGACGACTCGGAGAGGGAGGACGACTCAGAGAAAGGACAACTCAGAGAGAGAGGACGACTCAGAGAGAGAGGACGACTCAGAGAGAGGACGACTCAGAGAGAGAGGACGACTCAGAGAGAGGACGACTCAGAGAGAGAGGACGACTCAGAGAGAGAGGACGACTCAGAGAGAGGACGACTCAGAGAGAGAGAGGACGACTCGGAGGGAGAGAACGACTCGGAGAGGGCGACTAAGAGAGAGAGGACGACTTAGAAAGAGGGAGAGGACGACTCGGAGAGAGAGGACGACTCGGAGAGGACGACTCGGAGGGAGAGGGCGACTCGGAGAGAGAGGACGACTCAGAGAGAGAGAGGACGACTCGAAGGGTGAGGACGACTCGGAGAGGGCGACAAAGAGGGAGAGGACGACTCAGAGAGAGGGAGAGGACGACTCGGAGAGAGAGGACGACTCGGAGCGGACGACTCGGAGGGAGAGGGCGACTCGGAGAGAGAGGACGACTCGGAGAGAGGGAGAGGACGACTCGGAGAGAGGACGACTCAGAGCGAGAGAGGACGACTCGGAGAGGACGACTCGGAGGGAGAGGGCGACTCGGAGAGAGAGGACGAGTCGGAGAGAGGACGACTCGGAGAGGGCGACTAAGAGAGAGAGGACGACTCAGAGAGAGGGAGAGGACGACTCGGAGAGCAGAACGACTCAGAGAGAGAGGACGACTCAGAGGGAGAGGACGACTTAGAGAGAGAGGACGACTCGGAGGGAGAGGACGACTCGGAGAGGGCGACTAAGAGAGAGAGAGGACGACTCAGAGAGAGGGAGAGGACGACTAAGAGAGAGAGGACGACTCAGAGGGAGAGGACGACTCGGAGAGGGCGACTCGGAGAGGACGACTAAGAGAGAGGGGACGACTCAGAGAGAGGGAGAAGACGACTCAGAGAGAGAGGACGACTCGGAGAGAGAGGACGACTCCGAGAGAGAGGACTACTCAGAGAGAGAGGACGACTCAAAGAGGGAGAGGACGACTCAGAGAGAGGACAACTCAGATAGAGGACGACTCAGAGAGAGAGGGAGAGAGGACGACTCAGAGAGAGAGGACGACTCAGAGAAAGAGGACGACTCAGAGAGAGGACGACTCAGAGAGAGAGGACGACTCAGAGAGAGAGGGAGAGAGGACGACTCAGAGAGAGAGGACGACTCAGAGAGAGAGGACGACTCAGAGAGAGGACGACTCAGAGAGAGAGAGAGGACGACTCAGAGAGAGGACGACTCAGAGAGAGAGAAGGCAACTCAGAGAGAGGGAGAGGACGACTCAGAGAGAGAGGACGACTCAGAGGGAGAGGACGACTTAGAGAGAGAGGACGACTCGGAGGGAGAGGACGACTCGGAGAGGGCGACTAAGAGAGAGAGGACGACTCAGAGAGAGGGAGAGGACGACTAAGAGAGAGAGGACGACTCAGAGGGAGGGGACGACTCGGAGAGGGCGACTCGGAGAGGACGACTAAGAGAGAGGGGACGACTCAGAGAGAGGGAGAAGACGACTCAGAGAGAGAGGACGACTCGGAGAGAGAGGACGACTCAGAGAGAGAGAGAGGACTACTCAGAGAGAGAGGACGACTCAAAGAGGGAGAGGACGACTCAGAGAGAGGACAACTCAGATAGAGGACGACTCAGAGAGAGAGGGAGAGAGGACGACTCAGAGAGAGAGAGGACGACTCAGAGAGAGAGAGGACGACTCAGAGAGAGGACGACTCAGAGAGAGAGGACGACTCAGAGAGAGAGGGAGAGAGGACGACTCAGAGAGAGAGGACGACTCAGAGAGAGAGAGAGGACGACTCAGAGAGAGGACGACTCAGAGAGAGAGAAGGCAACTCAGAGAGAGGGAGAGGACGACTCAGAGAGAGAGGACGACTCAGAGGGAGAGGACGACTTAGAGAGAGAGGACGACTCAGAGGGAGAGGACGACTCGGAGAGGGCGACTCGGAGAGGACGACT